ATCAAACTTATGAGATTGTTAAACTTCCAGAAGGGAAAAAGGCTTTGAAAAATAAATGGGTGTTCAAGCTGAAGAAAGATGCAAATGGACAAGTGGTGAAACACAAAGCTTGATTGGTAGTCAAAGGCTTTCAACAGAAGAAATGGATTGATTTTGACGAGATCTTTGCACCAGTTGTCAAGATGACCTCAATTCGAGTCATACTTGGCTTGGCAGCAAGTATGAATTTGGAGCTTGAACAGATGGATGTGAAGACAGCTTTTCTTCACGGAGATTTGAATGAAGAAATCTATATGCAGTAGCCAGAAGGTTTGAGGTTTCAAGTGAGAACCTCGTGTGCAAGCTATCGAAAAACTTGTATGGTCTAAAGCAAGCACCAAGGCAGTGGAATAAGAAGTTTGACTCATGCATGAAGAGTCAAGGTTACAAAAAGACTACTGCAGATGAGTGTGTTTACATCAAAAGATACTCAAATGGGGCTTTCATAGTTCTTCTACTGTACGTTGACGACATGTTGATCGTTGGGAATGATGCAGAGAAGATACGTCAACTGAAGAAAGAACTTTCCAAGTCTTTTGATATGAAAGATTTAGGAAAAGCTCAACAGATTCTTGGGATGCAGATTACTCGAGACCGAGAGAACGACAAGTTATGGCTATCTCAGGAGAAGTACATTGAACGAGTACTTGAAAGATTCAATATGAGTGATGCCAAACCAGTGAGTATTCCACTTACGAATCATTTCAAGTTGAGCAAAAGATCATGTCCAACATCCAAGGAAGAGATGGGGGAGATGTCTGCAGCGCCATACTCTTCAGCAGTTGGAAGTCTGATGTATGCAATGGTGTGTACAAGGCCAGATATTGCTCATGCAGTGGGTGTAGTGAGTCGTTTTCTTTCTAACCCCGGGAAGGAGCATTGGGAGGCTGTCAAATGGATTCTCAGATACTTGAAGGGTACTTCTAAGTTATGTCTTTGTTATGGGGGAGCTGATCCAGTCTTGGATGGATATACTGATGCTGATATGGCCGGAGATATTGATTGTCGAAAATCTACTTCGGGCTATGTCTACACTTTTGAAGGGGGAGCAATTTCTTGGCAATCAAGATTGCAGAAGTGTGTTGCTTTATCCACAACAGAAGCTGAATATATTGCTGCCGCTGAAGCTGGTAAAGAAATGTTGTGGCTAAAGAGCTATCTCCAAGAACTCGGGATTAAGCAGAAAGAGTACAAGGTATATTGTGATAGTCAAAGTGCTATTGACTTAAGCAAGAACTCTATGTACCATGCCCGCACAAAGCATATTGATGTTCGGTACCACTGGATATGCGAGAAGATTGATCAACAGCTGTTGAAACTAGTGAAGATCAATACGAAGGAGAATCCATCAGATATGTTGACAAAAGTGGTTACACTTGATAAGCTTAAACTATGCAGAGACATAGTAGGAATGCTTGTTCAAAATTTACATGGAAAGGGGAGAATTGAAAGTTCCATGCAAATGTACAATCTCCAACTACCATAAATCTCCACCAAATATTCAAGCACACCATGGAAGAACAAGTTTGAAGACTTCATCAATGGCAAGCTTCATACTACCTTCTTTTTTCACACTATTTTTCCACAATGGTGTGCTAATTCATGCCTATAAATAAGCTTGTTATTTCATTCATTGAAATCATCCTTGAGAATGATCAATCAACCTAGAGAGTATTAAAACACAACCAAGAAAGAGTTGTGGAGTGTTTGAGAGTTTTTTTTTAGAGTTTGTAAATCTCTTGTGTTTTTATTCTTGTGAGTAATAGAAACGTGTTTTTCTCTCAAATTATGCTTCTGATCTTGGGATGATACCACAACACTTCGGCCTCTTTCATTGTACCGAAAAAATATCGAAATACGTTAAAATTTTCCATTTAAGAATATGCATGACTATTATTTTGGAGTTGTGCAAGATGTAATTGTGTAGCATGTCCACCGTAGAAGCTAATTAATTTGTCATACATAAATTGATAGTTGTATGTCAGACAATTAAATGAGTCATTTAGTTTGTGTTTTTTATTGGGTAGTGTTGGTGTGGTGATTCTAGTGCTGCTAGGTCCGGATTTAGGTGACCTTCGGGTCTACCTTCTAGTTTATTCAGCCGACAGCCGTTAGTTGTATCCTTCAACTTTTGGCTGGTTTTTCTTTCGCACATTGTACATTTTATAAAAATCTCTATCGTTCCGGACCCTAAAAAAAAAAAAATGGGCTAAATTCTCGTCTCACTCACCATGCACGACACAGGTTCATTCATTAAACACACAGCCAAATTAGTTCACCATTACATATCCACGCTGCCTGTAATTAGCACTAAGCATTAAACACGCTCACCTACTCCCAATTAATCACATCGACGGGACCCCCATAATCCATAATTGATACTCACCTGTAATTTCAAGCTCTAATCTTTAGATATATCTCCTTTTTTCCCCCTTCATCATAATAATCATCATCCATCATGGACTCTGTACTCCTCCTCCTCCTCCTCCTCCCTTATTATTACCACCTCCTCATATCATTATTCCTCGTTTCCCTAGCAGCATTATTCCTGATCAGAAAAGGCAACAAGAATAACAATAATAATAGTAATCGGAAGCTTCCTCCGGGCCCGCCGGGCCACCCGGTCGTTGGCAACCTCTTCCAGGTGGCCTTCTCCGGCAAGCAATTCTTCGAGTACGCGCGTGACCTCATTCCCATCTACGGGCCCATCTTCACTCTCCGCATGGGCTCCCGTACCATTATCATCGTCGCCAGCGCCAGCCTCGCCCACGAGGCCCTGATCGAGAAGGGCGGCGTGTTCGCCACCCGCCCGAGCGAGAACCCGACACGCACGATCTTCAGCTCCAACAAGTTCACCGTGAACGCGGCCCTCCACGGCCCCGTCTGGCGCTCCCTCCGCCGCAACATGGTCTACAACATGCTCGCCCCCGGAAAGGTCCGCGAGTTCCGAGCCGTCCGTGAGGCCGCGATGGACACGTTC